TTAAAAATACAACTCTATGGTTTCAATGGAGCGTAGGTATTTATTTTATCAAATAGGCTTCGTTTATATACTGTGTCATACTTATACTGTGGCCGAGATGCGAAGACGCGGACGCATAGTCAAGACCTCGAACACGTTTCGAGTATTTAGAAGTCTTGTACTCGCACATCTCGGAGACTCTGAGACGCGGATGCGTTCGATCTTAGTGTGAGTGAATCAATTCCTATTCCTAGGGTCAACCTTAACGTTATGTGATAAAAGTAATTTTTTCAGTGTTAGGGCGCTTGTTCTAGGATCTAGCAAAGCATCGATACTATAAGCATACGATTATCAAATTAGAACTATATCGAGTTTCCCAAGGCATATGCAGTGATATTTACCAACTATATTAAATCATCATATAAAATATCGACTTTTATAATTTATGATAAATATCGATTTCTCAAAAATCAATTATTTTTACCCAAGCCTACTCCACAGGCTCATGAATTTTCCGGATAGCGGACACAGCAGTGCACAACCGTACAGTGCCACAAATTTAACTGACCGGTGTTCCAATTGTTCGGAATTATTTTTGGAAAATATAAGAATGTCATCTATATATAAATAACAACAGTCCAGCCCACGGAGAACTTCATCAAGTAATCGTTGGAATGTTTGAGCTGCATTCCTCAGGCCAAATGATATAAATGGGAACTCAAACATTCCAAAAGGTGTAGTTTTTGCTGTTTAGGGTATATCGTTTTTATAAACTGGAATATGATGGTATGCTTTTACAAGATCTATTTTAGACAATATTGTGCAGCCTGCCAACCTATGTGAATAATCTTCAATGTGTGGTATGGGGTACCTGTCACGTATAGTTCTGGTATTGAGAGCTAGGTAATCTCCACATGGTCTCCAACTATCGCCCTTCTTCGGAACTAAACGAAGAGCTGAGGCCCAGAGTGAATCTGAACTGCGCGCTATTCCATCTCGTAATATCTCCTCAAACTGTGCCTTGGCTATTTTTAAACGATCAGGCGCTAGGCGTCGAGGTCTGCAATATACTGGTGGACCAGGCGTAGTGCGAATATAATGTGCAGTCTGATGTTTGATTTCGCGAAATATGCCTGATGATTTAGTAAGAGAAGGGAAACGAGCTAATAAAATGTGGTACTCACTTTTACCAGAAATCGCCTTAATACTATCTAACTTACAGAGCTTACTCGTAACTGTCGTTGAGAGTGCAGTTAAATTATCCAGTAAACGACCATTCTTACAATCAACTAGCATTCCATAATGTGCGATGAAGCCTGCCCCTATGATGGGTTTGTCCACATCGGCTACCACAAAATTCCACGAAAAGTCGCGCCGAAATCCTAGGTTGAGGCGTATTTTCATTAATCCGTAAGTACGAATGCTGGAACCGTTTGCTGCTGTAAGGCTGTAATCAGTAGGTTTAACATATGCATGTAGGAATGTACGAGGCAAAACACAAAGATCGGAGCCTGTGTCGATTAAAAATTGGACTTTACTTTCTTTGTCAGTTACAAAAGGGCGACGGGTAGGCGTATGACAGTCGGCTGTCGCCTCTACTGACCGTTTCTTAAGTTTTCCTTAAAATTGCAGGGTAGAATACATTTACTCGCCTTTTCAGAAAATTTATAATGATACCAACACATACCAAAATTCTTAATTAGACCTTGTCCGGCGCTTCTAGATCTACTCCTCGACCTATTAAACCGATTCCGAACAGTTGAACGACCATGGCTTGACTCGACGTTCAGTTGAGATAATTGTCGACTAAGTTCCGCTTGTATACGCGACGTCAATGTCTGCTCCAACCGTTGAAACATTCCTTCTATATTATTTGAAGAAGTACTAGCGACTTGTGAATTGGGGGTAGGAACAACGTCGTAAATTTGATCCGCTAAAATAGCAACCTCGTTGGGACATGTAGCTTTTTGTGATGACGGTGTCACTGATGTCGATTTTAGTGTTGCCGCTAAATACTATTTCCCCAGATGTAAGGGTAAAAATAATGTCATTGCCAATGGTGTAACTATATATTAATAAGTAACTTTTTATTTATACAAAATATTCCGTATGAAAACTCTGTGAAAATGGGAAATTACCCAAATCTTTAAAATCTCTGTGATTTTTTACGAGTCTTATAAAACTGCAGATGGTTGGATAGTAGGGCACTAGATGTATTAAAACTAGTTTCTCAGAATTCTCACAGTATTAACTAAAAAATTTGTTTATTACGTCTTTGCGGATGGTTAGAATAGTAAAAACACTTTTTTTATGAATTATATTTTATAACTATAATTATGATCCATTAGACAATCATCTGCGTAATTTAGAGGCTGGATTCCAGGCATTCCTGTAGTTGTACTAGCATCCTCGGCCACTTCATCATCTGAATCACTGCTGTCACTTTCACTGTCACTTCCTAAAGATATGATAAAAGGTTCATCTAAATAAGCATCTTTTTTCAGGTACTCATTTTCAATGTTCTTTACATGGGCACAGTGTTTTTGCCATTCTGCAGTTGTTATTTTATTAAATGCTTCTGCGATTAACTGCGGCATTTCAGCATCTGACGTTCCAATGTTATGTTCTGCAACAGAACGTTTCATCGAACTCCAGATTATTTCTATGACATTCAAATCACAATGATAGGGGGGCAGTCTAAGAACAGTGTGCCCATTGTCTCCTAACAAATTATCAATTTCATATTGAGGTACTGGTTTGTGCCTCTTTATTAATTCATACAGCTGGGGTTTAGTGTAGCTTTCATTGAACTCCACATTATGTTCAGTAAGCCAATTCTGCATGACTGCCTTTTTAGTATTTGTATTAGGACATTTATTAATACAAATACTGTGGTAAGGGGCGTTATCCATAACAATTATGGTTTCTGTTTGTAAATTAGGTAGCAATTTTTCCGTTACCCATTTTTTTAAATTTGTATTATTCATCTTATCATGGTATTTCAATGAAACTTATTATACTATTTTTTTTTACTGGCGAAATCGATAATTAGGCAGTTTACTTATTATTACAATTTTATTTACGCTTTTCACGGTTACAAAAGAAAAAAAAGGCCATAGTATTAAAAGTGGTTACCTAATTTAAGACCAAGTCATTAACAAAATTATAAGGCATAAAAATTATGGATTAAATTAGAAAAGAAAAGAAATATTATTTATTATTAGACCTTTCCATTACAACTAACCTTTATTTAATTATCATTTAAACTAAGAACAAGCGAGATATTTAGATTATTAATATCATTGTATAAGTCCGTATTTTATTGTTTCGTGAAAATAACACTGCATTAGGAAAAAAAACCAAAACTTCAAAGCAATTAATCTACAGAACCTTACTGACACATCAGAAACCCGAGTTTCTCAATACACATCGTCGTCGATTTTATGTCTCTGTCGCTCCTTCTTGCATAGACTAATGTGAGCAATAGTGCAGATATCTAACTTCAAAAAAAAAAGACATTGTGATAATAGTTTTTGAAACACTGGTAATCACAAGATTGGTGTACTTTTATGGTTAAAAGTCATTTACTACTAACTTTTTCTTTGTTTTGAAATAATAATACTTTTCATATTTATTCTAGGCATTTATCTTTAGATTTATTTAACTTCTGTTATTTTTTAAACTAGTTCGGCACATGGAGTCGATGACCAAATACAACACAACAGCTGTTTTTAGGGTCGTCAGCGGACAGTTTTACTTCGAAGAGAAAAAGCTAAATATCTAGGTCATGTGCTGGGTTTCAGACTTAGTGATCATTTTTGTGGGTTCTATTCATCATACCGTATGTGCCATATTCGGGATTATACAGGTATTATCAAACACGCTGTATAGCCTGACATATCGGACCGGAAAAAATCGGACCGCCGGTCCTGAGAATTCAGTGTAATACACAAGCGCCCTTAATGAATTAAAACTTTAACGTCAGTGGTGTTACATTTCGTTCACTTACTTTATCTAATGGTCTGAGGTAAGACTCAAAATTATTATGATTAAATTATTGTTTATATAAAATAATTCCTTAATAACGTATTAAAGTCGTTCAACGTTTTGTTTTTAGGAAATCCATAGAATTGGTAATTCAAAATTTTTTGGTTGAATGAATGTATTTCAAATCGTGTAATGATCTCCTAACGTGAAGTTGGCAGTATTGTGGTGACGCAAAGTGCCATTAAAGTTAAGAAGAACTCGCTTTACGTTTGGACACCACTTAATATTTATTACCTAATACTTAACTGACTGATTTTTTAACTAGCTACTGTACTTATTAAAATGTAAACAGGTCTATGGCCAAGGTTAGTAAAAAAAAAAGAAAAAAAAACGGGGTGCCGACGTCAACTGACAACTGACATTTAGTTCACAACAAATGTTCAACAAATCATTTTGTCGACGCGCTGTATGGCGGACTGTGAATTGTAATGAATGTATTTACGTATTTCTGTCTCCATCTTTAGTCCTGTGCCAGTGGTGTCCAAAATACGTATTGGTGTATTTTTATTAGATATATTATTGTCGTCTAGAGTTTAATATTTGTCTTTCTCTGACATTAAAGAAAAGTGAAAGAAAGTTTAACTTTATATTGATAGATTTTATTTAATTTGAGAAGATTTACAATAGGTATATATTTTATTGCTATTGTAAGAGGATCTTTTTTCACTCAGGTAGGTTTTAGATGAAGAGTATTCAACTTTCTATTTGTAAAAAAAATATTTTATTTCAGTCACAGTAGCTGTGAATGACCTATTACAATTTAGTTTACATCACATAATTATTGTAAATTATACCTTTCTGATTCTATTAGGATATCTCTAAAATTTTATTTTAGACATTCTATTGTTCTATAAGTTTAAACACTGATTGAAACCTTAATATTTTGCAATTCTCTATTGATGCCATGAAAGGATGCATATTTTTATTTCTCTTAAACAAACAGATGTCTATAGGAAGCAATATCTATGGTTTCTTATCAACACTCACATAATATTATCATTCATAACAGACTAAAGTAAGTATTATTTGCAATAAATAATCAGTTTCTAATGAATATCTGTTTATATCATAGGAACTGGACTAACCAAAAGGTCCTATGAAGACTATTGATAACTCTACTGCAAATAGTGATGTGATAGATGAAAGTGGGACCCCTTTACAAAATATAGAATTAGTGAATGCAAACACTCAATTATCATCAGACATCATGGACAATGATTCTAAAAAATTACAGTATTTATCTAAAAAACAAGACAAATTTGGTAAGAAGTCACAAACCTGTTACTAGTAATGGATTCAATATTCATTTGAACTGTAATTTAGTACCTAGTTTATAACAAACAATAGATTCATAATGTAATTATAATATTAAAATGAGTTAAAGAAAGTATTAAAATAATACAATATACCATATAAGTAACTCTGTTATTTTTGTTTTGTAAAAATAAGGCATGGGAATTCATATTGTTTTTATAATGCACAACTACCTAGCAATTTCATCTTTCTAAATTCAAAGATGATTTTAATTTAGCTTCTCAATTTTAATTATTAATTCTCTTCCAGGCTATATCAAATATGTGAGTCTGGTAATTTTAACCTTGCAAAATGCCACTTTGGGCCTTAGTATGAGATATGCTCGCACAAGAAAAGTAGAAATGTTTTCTTCAGCTGCAGGTAAGTTTTTTTAGAATAATAAAATGCACCCATGTATAATACAGATACCTTGATAAATTATTTTAAAATTGTTTCTATAATTTGGTATATATTAGCACATGTTGTACTAACTTATGAGGTATGAATTATCAGTGTCTGAGTTACTTTTCCACCCTTACCACTAGATGTCAAAGTGACTGGACTAACAAACTTTTGTTGTGTTGCTTTAGCTTTCCTTTGTACAAATTTTCTTTTTATGGTATAATTAGCAAATGATACAATTATATATTTAAGTACTATATACTGTATACTGTAGTAATCAGCTGCCTTGTTCAATGATCCAAACATAAAGGCTAGACTCCCAATTGGTTGGCTGATCGAATTGATAACATTCGAATGAAATCAATAACATTTTAATAATTTTATGGTTCTTTCTCATCGCTATATGAGACACCTCTTTCTCTGGTTCGATAAGGATTTGGCTTCCTTCACTCGTCCCTAATGAGATTTGAAATCCTAATAATTTCACTCATGAAGATTTGTGAGAAGAAGTGAGAATCATTGTGCTTTTACTCTGTAAGCCTAACACTAGCTTCCAATTTATACATACTTACACACGGCTGCATGTCAGGTTACCACAATAAGTTAATTTACTGCTATGAAATTTAAAATCTACCTCCAATGTATTAAGTTTTAAAATCGCGCAGAGAAATTTGACAGTTCTGTATAAACTGACGTGCTGTTGACTGTACATAGGATCTTGACTCTTATGTTCTTTCCAAAGTAAAGCTCGTAGTGGACTCTAGGAGATTTGTGACGAGCCGAAAAGCGCCCAGTCGGAAATTTTCGGCTCGATGTCTCCTTATAGTTGACGTCAATCTTTAAAGTTACACTGGCACGCAAAAACGGTATCTGGATATCATAAGTAATCCTAACATATAATCATTCTAAGCATCCTCATCGGGAAACGTCATTATATATATATATATGGTAATTTCTTTTTATATGCCACAACATCGTTTTTGTTGAAAACAACATCCATTCCCACCAGAGTAGAACTGCATGCTAATAGCGCGACGGAATCGCTGTGGCAATTTTAGAGCCTTTATCGCCTATCTCAAAGCCACAGGAAAAGCGATAGCTACAAGATAATTATATTTTTTTACATTGAAATGTTTTAAACTTTTGTAATGATTGTGTTTTTATTATTAGCCAATGGTGTTGGTTGTTTTTAGTCTTCGCAATAAGCACACACGTCAAATTTGAAAGTAGTGGTTAGTGAATTTTGAAATACATATAACACGGGGCAACGACAAGTATATTTATTAGAAAGCCTTGCAATCTTGTCGTTGTTCATTTATTTATTATTATTATATTTTATATTTTATTTTATTTTATATTATATTTATTATTAGGATATCTAGCAGATTGTCCACTCACTAACAGGAAGCCTTTGAACACGTGTGACAATTCCTGATGCAGATCCACCTTAAAGCTTACTGATACCATGGTTTATTTTTTTGAATAAATCATAAATGTTTGTGTAATTGTGGTGCGAGTTGATTTGGTTACTTTCGAATATGGTAACTGTCTCCCAGAAATGCTCTTAGTCGATTTGTATTGGGTTTCATTTGACTCATAGACATCTACGTAGAGTAAAATACTTGTTCTATCTTAATTTTAATTTGAATTAAAATCTTAATATGATTCAATTCACTTAATTTGATATAAAAAAATAAGGGCTTTAATAGAAACGTTTATTATATTTTTCTAAAGAAATCAACATAATGTTAAAATTAGATTCGAATTTCTTTTCACCAGTACTCGGCCTCATGTACATCATAATACGATAGTCTCACATCCTGTACATATTGGACATAAAAAAATCTTTAAAATATATTTTTCTAATGACATCAAATAAACCAGAAAAGTCGGTACATTTCAAATACTTAACGGCAACTAATATTCTTTAAATTCTCTTCTATTTTTAGACTTCATCAGATTTTATTTTTTATAATTCTGATTTATTCTTTTGTCTTTTTCTGTTCCTTTACTTCTATTTTTCTGCTTTTCAAACTTCTCGATATGGTGAGATTCTGTATAATTCAAGATTTTTATGCTAAAATAAACATGTAAGATGTAATTCTAATTAAACGGTCATAAGATTTAATTTTATGTAGCAAAACTAATGGCCGACAGTTGGAGTCAATACACGACCGACTACTGGTAAAATTAATTTATTTTCATCGCAGAGTTATATTCAATCCAAAGCAAAAATATGACTATATACTGTAGAAATTTAAACGAAATTAAAGAAAATCCTAAAAAAAAGCAAGAAGTCGCTCGCTTCAGGCCGAGCACCGGATCAACCTAAAAATCGAAATCCAGTAGCCGGCCCACTGAATTATAATGTAATAAACAAATAAAACTCCTTTAACTCTAAATTAAATTACAATACAAACATTTTATAAAAATATAACATAAAAATCATCGTAGAACCGGTCCTGCACACTTTTGCACAAATATGTACAAAGTGCATTTTTCTAACCGGGGCCGAAACTTCGTAAGGCGCCCTTACTAACTCTCCCCCCCCCCCCCCCCACACGCTCCCTGAAGCCGGAATTTATATCATTGTATTTTACAGCGTATGGAATTTTTCTTTTATTTCATATAGGACTTTTGCAGCATGTCCTATCCGATGTAGATCTAGGCCTGAAGATCTGACGTGTTGCCACATTTTAATTCAGATATCGCCGTAATTTATTGATTACGCAAAAAAACTTGTGAAATATTCTTTAATAATAATCTATCGGACGACGGGCAGAAAAACAAAAATCTATCATACATATTTCCAGGAAAATGTGTTGATTTAATGATTGTTTGACTCTTGAAACTGATACTGAAAAAGCGCGGCATCGTCTATCATCACATCTTCCTATAATATTATGAAAAATCTCAGGATAAGCTTTCATGTGCTAGACAATAGTAACTAACTTAGATGTATGTAGATGGTTCTATTCGGATTTTGTTACATACTCATTATACAAACAATTGCAGTTGGTCTTATTCGCACTTAGTTGCTTCTATTACTAGTATTAGAATAAGTAATAATCATTATATTAGATCAATTTTGCATTCACAATGCTATACTGAAAATTATTCTTAATGAAAAATGCTTAAAATAATCCATTTTGTCTATGGCGCCTGAGATGGGACTCGAACCCATTGACTTTTCGCAATACCACTGAGCTACCCAGGACCTAACAGGATTGAATTTTTCAAGCACTCCTTACTTTTTCGCTACTGCAGAGCGTATTTTCATCAAAATTCAGCAGTCGCCCGGAATGCGAAAGGTCGCGTGTTCGAGTCCCATCACAGGCGCCATGGACAAAGTGGATTTTTTAAGCATTTTTCATTAAGTAATATTTTCCCATTAAGTTTTATACTTATTCTTGATGCACCTTGCACTCACTTCCACACAACCCAAACTGACAGAGGGGTGAAGTATTGCACACTAACTAGGTACCTGTTAAACTAATCCAATGTCAATGCTTTATTGATTTCAAGAGAACCAATTCATAATATATTTATGTTATGATGATGATTTATAATTTACAATATTAAAAAGGAAGAGCACTGGTCCTTTCCATTATTGTTGTGCCCGACAGGGTACATAGTAGTGTTGCCGGACCTACCGTATTTCACAGGACGTTCCGTATTTCATGCATAAATTCAAATGTCCAGCCGGGACCGACTGTCCCGCATATCAAATCGATTTCACAAATGGTGCTAAAGTGGGGTGATGAACGAAATAAATGTACCTCCAACTTAAAAAAAACCAAATAAATGACCGTATTGAACTATGATTTTTATGATGGGATTGGCATGTTCTAAAGAATAAAAACCCCTTAAAAAATAAAGGAAATAAAACTAAGATTTTAATTCATTATTTATTAAAAATATGTTAAAATATTCGTGTTTCTCTGAAAACATATAAAAGGTACAATACAAGTAATTTGGTTTTTTATTAATCCTGGATAAAAAAAACCGTATTTTTTGCACATTTAAATATTGGACCCTTATAGGCTAAAATAAAATCTGGCAACCCTAGTCCATAGTGAAACTAACTAAACTATGTAAAATTTTATATATTACCTGTGGATACAATAAACATATTCAGTGCTATCAATAAACAAGGTTAAGCGTGAGTATAAATTTATGCTAAAATTGCATTTTAGTTTTGGTCCAAACTCATATTATATCATATTATATAATATGAGTAAATATTACTCCCGTAGAACCTCATACTAGGTGGACTTTTGTTAGTCTCCGTTTAATAATATGAATTTTGACTAATACTAAGTGCAGTCACAGTGTGAATTTGCTCCAACTCTAAACCTTGTTTATTAATAACACTGATTGAGTAAGACTAAATCTTTGTTAATCATTCCTTGTCGTTTTATTTAGTTTCAACTAATATTTTTAAGTACTCTGAGAATTTGATATATCTTTAGAACAGTATATTATCATCTTCCAACAGCATAGTTGGAAAACTAATTCCCTTGGGCAAGTGAGGAACAAAAGTGGTCCTGACACACTCACTTGCGGCCCAGGTGTACCTGGTAATATCACTCAGGTAAGTCGAATAGGAATATCGAATACCTAGGTATTCGATCAATGTGAGAATGAGACCAACTGATATTGGTATTTTTCGAACGCGTATAGGGTCAACTGCATTTGTCTCTGCATGATCAATTATAAATGGGCCATACTGTCACACAAAGCATATTTATATTAAATATTTGACATAGTAGCTCGTCGGTGGGTGAAAGTGGAATAATTAGGTTGCGTATATGTAAGCGTATATAAAACAAATTATGTATTTGATTATTTTCAGCTGTGCTGATGGCTGAAGTTTTTAAACTAGCAATCTGTATTGTGCTAGTGATACAAGAATCTCGTAGCATTAAAAAGGGTTTCCACTCTATGTATGCAACGGTCATATTAAATGTAAGAGACACTTTACGGGTCTGTGTCCCATCATTTTTATACATAATTCAAAATAACTTACTCTATGTCTCCGCATCAAACCTGGATGCTGCAACATATCAGGTAAATCTTTTACTTAAGTTATTATCTCAAAACTCTTATCGATTTTGAAGGCTGCTGTTAGGATAGATTGTTTGGTTCTTGTTTCTCTTTAATAAGACTACACATATTGCTTTTATTGGTACTTACGAGGGTAGGTTAGGATGTGTTTGCAGAAAGAAGGGAAAGAAGGGGTAGAAATATATTAAAAAAATCGTAATTTAGCTTCGAGTCTTACAATTTACATTGTAATGAGTAGCATAAACTATTACATATTATTATATGTATATCTGATATCAATAGCAACATTTTACTAACAATAGTCATCCATAGATTTTATCAATTAAGTTTCTTTTTTATTTAAATAGTTTGTAATTGCTTTTAAGTTTATTGAGTTAATTTTTGGGGCCATGGGTTTCCAGGTTTCATTTTATATGTATGTCGTGGAAACCTTGAATTAGGTAGCACATTGTCTTTGTTATTAATTATTAAGATATTTGCATGTACAGTGTTTGACCTTGTTAGTTACTCAAATAAATAAATAATCATTTTATTTTGAAACAAATGAAAAAAAAAAACCAATGGATCTTGCTCATAAGGTGCTTCTATGCATAAGTATTTGATGGTATTGCAGTCATCGTAGTCTTCCTATTCAATAGTTTATTATGAATTGTATTAGGTTTACAACAAAACGAAAGTAAGTTAAGATGAAAACGCATCGCATCATATAGTGACAAAAATATTACTTGCTTGCAGGTGACATATCAATTAAAGCTACTTACAACAGCTTTCTTTGCTGTTATAGTCTTAAAAAGGAAACTAAAAAAGTGGCAATGGTGTGCGCTAGGTCTGTTGGCTGCAGGAGTAGCACTTGTTCAATTATCATCAACTGAAAATAAAAATTCGGAAAAGTCGACGGATGGACAATCTCGGATACTGGGGTTTGGAGCTGCATTAGCTGCATGCTTCATATCTGGCTTTGCAGGAATCTATTTTGAGAAAGTGTTAAAGGAGTCCGATATTTCTGTAAGTATTTTTTCATTATATTACCAATTATATGGGCGCCAATGTAACCTAAGTAAAAAATAAGGAGATAAGACAATTCCAGTTTTCAATTACCTAAATATGGTATAAATTATCATCTATCGGTCAGTTAAACAAACAACTATTAAGGTTTAATGTCGCCTTTAAGCTCTAATGAATGTCAAATTTGTATGGGCAATGACACTTTAAACTAATGAAAATTTTAATCGACGTTTGTGCAACTAGCTGTTTGAGGAGTAGGCATTCTAAACAGCTGGTTGCACTAGTGAAATAAAATAATATCGTAATAAAACCTCGTTTCATTTGTTCTACCATATAGGTGACGAGCATTATAAATAACTAGTTTTTGCCAGCGACTTGGTCCGCGTGGTAAAGTTACTTTGAGCAGCATTTCTAACGAATATTTATTCATTATATCGTGTAAAATTCCTGTAATAAAGTTTCATCCCTTATTTTATGCCTTTTATGAATTGAATTTATCAAAATCCTTTCTTAGGGGATGCCTACGTCATAGTAGCTTTATGTATGCAAAGTCTCAGCCCGATTGGTTTAAAATTGACAAAGTTTCATACAAACTTTATCAAAATCCTCTGTTAGCGGATGCCTACGCTATAACATCTTCCTGCATGCCAAATTTCAGCCCGATCTGTCCAGTGGTTTGGATTGTGCGTTGATAGATCACTATGTCAGTGTCACGTTTGAGTTATATATATTACTCGTCTGGACAATCTGATTATCTATGTAATTTTTATCACATTGTTATTTATAAAGCCCGACTTTGCCCATACAATAATGTATTTTATAATATAATTGAACTAACGAAACTTAGCGCAACTGGTAAAAGATTTTAACGGTTTATATACCTTTCAGTTAAACGAATATAAAATTTATTTAAGATTTAGCCATTTTAACATAAAAAACTAATCCGGTCTGACATTGTTGTTGTCATTAACTTTCATTTTATTTAAGCCATCTAATTATATGGCTGTTATAATCACTTGGCTGCCACATAATATAATCAGGTATATAATACATAAAGTATATTTCAAAGTGCAATACATTTCTCGTCTTCTTTATACACTCCAACATTTCAAGGTTTTTAATATGATTCTAGTTAATGAAATATTTTATAGGTAGGAGTAAAATGCGTCCAGTTACTTAAAGTTCTCAAATTGATTTGAGCCTTTATCTGTGTTGATAATCGAAATCACAATCGAACGTAACCTAATTTGCTCATGGATAATGTAATATTGTATAATTATAGACTGTTAGACTAATATAATGCAACGCGGAAGTTTAAAAGTTTATAATTATAGACTGTTTGTATTTTTTCTGTTTGTTGCACTGCTTATAATTTCTCTGTCCACAACTCTTGCGTTGACTGATAGGAAATTGCTGTGGCCTTAAATGCGACATTTGTACAGTTTTAATTGCGTATTAAAGCATTTAAAATATGTAATTACAGTTAAATATTTTTTTCTAGGTATGGATGCGAAATGTACAATTAAGTCTGCTTTCTCTACCGTTCGGCACAGTTACATATTTGATAAATAATGGCGGCTCTATGAAGACAATACTGAAAGGGTTTGATGGATTTGTTTGGTATTTGGTGTTGTTACAAGCCGCAGGAGGTTTGATTGTGGCTGTGGTGGTCAAATATGCCGACAATATACTCAAAGGATTTGCCACGTCCGTGGCAATAATAATTTCTTGCGGTGTATCCATATACTTATTCAATTTCGTATTGACTATACAGTTCGCTGCCGGAACAATACTTGTTATAGGATCCATATTTCTTTATGGGTATGTGCCTAAGAAACCAGACAACCGGACTTCCTTAAATGTATGATTTTATTTATACCTATTCTTATTTTTTTTAAACTTTGTACTTAAAATCACATATAAACAGAAGAAATGTCACAATTAAGCAGCTATGTATTATAAGTTAGTATTTTTACTATTTGCCTATCAATGTCATAAATATTATTTAATTTAATTAAATTACTTTTAAGTATTATTTTTTATTAAGTGTAGTGTCAATCCGAGTTACTTTAAAATCCTATACTCATTTGTTGCATTTTCATCAGTTCTATACCTACGCTTGGACTCTTAACTCTGACTGTGTGAAAAAAGTGAAGGCTTTCAAAATGCAAAAGAAGAAAATATAATAGATGAATAGTGTCAGAAACAAAATCGAAACAACAAAGACATGGAGCCGATTATAGTCATCGATATCAGAAACTAATATTGCTATTATGGTCAACTAAACTTCATCAGGAATAATGGAGCGAAACGATGAATTTGAGGTCAAGGCACAGGTTCCCAAACCTTCTTTTCTGCTTGACACATTCAAAATTTTATTCGTTTCGGTGGCCGCCTGTTGGAAACATACATCTTTAATCTCAAAATTAATCGTAAATGCGAAAATGAGATCGAGATTAGACTGCTATTGAGTTTCCCAGATCCAGGGGATCTACCTGGGCCCTTTAGGGCATAATGTGTTTACGTAATGTTATATACTCAAAGGTCATATCGCTCACTGAATACAACTCAAAAACCATTATTTCGAGAAAACGCCACAACATTGGTGTGGCATCCCATAGATAATTTAAATAAAAAATAAAAAACTTAACAGTAATAATATATTACAAACGATTTAACTGTTATGCTGAAAAAATGATTTTCATAATTATAAATATATGAAATTTTCATAACTTCGGAGAGCGTTTCTCGAAATATGATTTTTGAGTTGTGCCACTGTAGTATTCAGTGAGCGATATGAAAGGTTAAAACCTGTACAACCAATATTTTAAGATATTTTGCAAAAATATTTAATATTTTATGACGATAAGATAACTACCGCAAGTATATGGCGCTGACGTGTCCGTCACTCCGACAACACCACCCTCTTGAGTTTTGAAATGAATTCAAGTTACGGTGACAGATGTGACAAAAACATAGCTTGAAGCTTTTATATACGTATGTATTTGTCGCAACTAAGTGGTTTAATCAGCCTAGCAACTGGTAGGCTAGCTCTTTAATTGAATGGCGCCATTCAATTAGCAATCTGACTTTATATCAGCCGATTAGCTGAACACAACGTTCTACAATACGGCTGAACAAAGGTTATCCAACTAATTTACTGTCAACTCACCGGGAACGCCGATATTAATTGATAAGTTAAAAGTAAAACAAGATATACAGCGTGTTTGGTAATACCTGTATAATCTCGAATATGGCACATACGGTATGATGAATAGAACCCAGAAAAATGATCACTAAGTCTGAAAGCCAGCACATGACCTAGATATTCAGCTTTTTTTCTTCGAAGTAAAACTGTACGCTGACAACCCTAAAAACAGCTGTTGTGTTGTATTTGGTCATCGACTCCATGTGACTTAAAAAATAACAGAAGTTAAATAAATCTAAAGATAAATGCCTAGAATAAATATGCATCCGAGAGTAATTTATTATTTCCAAACAAAGAAAAAGTTAGTAGTAAATGACTTTTAACCATAAAAAAACACTAATCTTGTGATTAACGGTGTTTCAAAAAATATTATTAAGAAAACTTCTCTAATAATACAGTCAAAATAAAAAAGAAATTGCAAATACTTTGATTGAAGTTCAATATCTGCACCATTGCTCACATTAGTCTATGCAAGAAGGAGCGACAGAGACATAAAATCGACGACGATGTGTATTGAGAAACTCGGGTTTCTGATGTGTCAGTAAGGTTCTGTAGATTATTTGCTTTGAAGTTTTGTTATTTTTTTCATAAAGCCGTGTAATTTTACGAAACTATAAAATACGGACTTATACAATGATATTAATAATCTAAGTATCTCGCTTATTCTTCTTTTAAATGATAATTAAATAAAGGTTAGTTGTAATGGAAAGGTCTAATAATAAATAATATTTCTTTTCTTTTCTTATTTAATCAAAAAAAAATTATGCCTTATAATTTTGTTAATGACTTGGTCTTAAATTAGGTAACCACTTTTAATACCTATTATGGCCTTTTTTTCTTTTGTAACCGTGAAAAGCGTAAATAAAATTGTAATAATAAGTAAACAGGCTAATTATCAATTTCGTCAGTAAAAAATAGGATGATAAGTTACTTTGAAATTTCATTGTTTAATTCAATAAAAAAATAACGATTTTTTGTTAGGTAGGTTACGTAACACAGAATTTGATGACGCGGAACCCTAAATCAGTGTACTTTTGATTTAGGTACACTGGTGTTCGAGTTGCAATAATAATAACCTATGTAGTTTTGGTCATCGCGTCAGTCGCGTCCGTGACTTTCATCGGCGTACTTGTGAGTTTTCAGAATTTAGAAGGTCAACTTACATTTTCGTTCTTTCGGGACTTTTGGTTCGTTTTTCATTCTCGTTCTGTTTACCTGTGTGTTATGTTTGTGTGCGGTCAGTGCAATGAATTTGTACTTAAATGCCTAATATTACGAGATGATAATGTGTGGCGGTGCTTGTGACGGTAATCTTGCTGCGGCTCGGCGGCGTTATGACGAGCGCCACGTGTCAGGAAGATCTGAAAACCATCGACGTCTTCCTTCTTACCGGTGATTCGCGGCACTTGTGAATCGGTTACATACAACTGGTTTATTCCAGAGTGTGCCACAGGTAGGCCGGCCGAACACCTATTCCATCGAGACAGAGGATATGATTTTACGTCGAGAGTAACACGACACGGTTTGTGTCGAATCGAATGGAGATGTGTGTTTTAGGCGGTGGCCGGCATATCGAGACTCTGGACTGATAAAGTGGACGTGAAGTGTAGGTAATGCTGACAAGTGAAAGCTGAAAGAATGATTAGAACGCTGTAGGTATTTACCTGTTTTAATTACACTCATACGTAGTCGAGTGCGCGCGTCGGCGACATCAAAATATATTTTAGGAGACGAGAGAGTGAGAGGTAATGAGAGAGAGAGAGAAAGAGCGAGTACGCCGGCACGTATAAGCGTACAGGGTTGTAGCATAGTAATTGAAAACAAATTGTTCAAATATTTGTATGAAAATATCAATTTACGTGAAATTGTTTTTTGACATATCAAATGTGTTCTTTGTGCTAGGTTGTATGGCCATGTTTCGGGATTATACAGGTATTACCAAACACGCTGTATAATGTAGTGATGATTTTATAGAAAACTCAATAACTCCTCGTTACGATCTGTAATTGATACAAATACGACCTATCCAATTAATAATAACCAGTGGTCGGCATAGGTAGAGCTAGTTCACGGGATTTGACGATGCTAGATTAACATGGAAATACCCTCGCATTTTAAAGTTCCGGGATTTTCATAATCACTTTCAATTAAATATTGCATTATGTTACATTTAAAAAACGGCACACTAAATAGTCGTCATTATTTTACCATAAATACTTACCTTGTTGGCTATAGAGAACAGCATTTTTATTGAAACAATTAAGTTCCTAATACAACCTTCTAGCACCTCTACAAACATTCTTTTAAATCAGTCGTGATTTTTATACGCCTGTACTATTTATTGACAGTGTGTCGTAATTGACTAAGAGTACTGTAGACGATGCTGTATAACTGTTGATGATGGTGCAAAACAAAGACGGATTTCTTCTATAGACGATTTATTTTTCTTCTTACTGACTAGTTGACTGCTGGACTACACTGCTTGACTGACTTGACTTGACTACAAATATTTACAAATTTGGCCCTACCCTTATTCTAAACTTAACATCTAACTTAGATACTAGTGACGCGCGGCGGCCGACCAATCACAGCGCGTTTTACGCCCGCGCGCCGGGTGGGGGAATCGCCCCCACCGTGCGGACGGCGCCTACGCAGCCAATGGGCTCCCCGATAAATCAGCTAATGTAGGCGCTATGATTGGTCGTTCGACTCGTTCATTTTTCGGCACGTGGCTGTCGTCAACAGTCTCCCCCCGGCGAAGGATCTCCGCAGCCTCCTCCGGTTGGCAGCCCCGTGCCCGTCGCGCAGCACGTCCTCTCTCATCGTTCCGCGGAGAGTGCGGGTTCGACGATAATTAGCTTCGCCGTCGGCCGCCGAAATGTTTCTCCTCTTGTCGTTATCTCCACGTTCCGAATCACGCCGTCAGGTACAGGGTAGGTGTTGGCTACGATGCTGCGTGGCCACGTGTTTCGAGGCAGGGCGTGGTCGGCTATGATAACCACGTCTCCGGTCCGTACTTCGCTGCTTCGTGGACGTTGTGGGTCGCGGCGTGGTACGAGGGTCGGTAGGTACTCTCGTAGCCAGCGTTTCCAGAAGGCGTCGGCTAGTGCTTGCGTCGCCCTCCAAGTCCTGCGGTCGCCCTCTTCACATGGCCCGGTGTATGGAAGGCCGGTCGATGACTCCAACAAGAAGTGGTTTGGGGTTAGCGCCTCCGGATCGCTTGGGTCTACGGAGACATGCGTCAATATTGGTGAATTGACAGCATGTTCCGCCTCGGCCAGTAGAGTGTGCAGGACTTCCTCCTTCGGCGCTCGTTCCTTTAATGTTGCGTTGAGCGCGGTTTTCACGGAGCGAACCATGCGTTCCCAGGTTCCGCCTTGGTTAGGTGCTCCCGGCGCGATGAATTTCCATGTGGCATCGTAGTTCATCGCCTCTCTTTTCAGCTCGGGAAGCCACTCGGTGTACGCCTTTTTGAGCTCGGTGTCAGCCCCTCGGAAGTTAGTGCCGTTGTCGCTATATATTACGGCGGGCCATCCTCGTCGTGCTGCCATTCTTCGCAGCGCCATGATTGCGGAGTCAGTGGTGAGTGATGCCACCAGCTCCAGGTGCACGGCGCGTATCGTTAGACAGGTGAATAACGCCACCCATCTTTTTTCTCGTCGTCGTCCAATTTTGATGGTGACTGGCCCGAAGTAATCTATCCCACAATGACTAAAGGGACGTCTGAAGGGCTGTAAACGTTCTGCGGGTAGATCCCCGTCGGCGGACTCCTTGGCTTCGATCTTCGTAGTCGACACATCAGGCAGCCTGCTGCGACTTTCTTAACGGTTGGTCGCAGCCGCAGGATCCAGTACTGCTGCCTGACGTCGTTGACCACTCGCTCGTTGTTGCAGTGTCCCGCTCGTCTGTGCTCTCGATCAATGATTTTCTTCGCGAGTTCGTGGCGTCCGTCTAATAATACTGGCTTCTTCGCTGTCTCCGGTACGTCCGCCTTATTAATGCGTCCGTTTAGTTTCACAAGCCCGTCTTCCCAAGTGAGGTCGTAACGGTGCAGAGGGCTCGTTCGTGCTACGGGGACTCCTTTCTTCAGGCACTCGATTTCTTGGCTGAAGGAGTCTT